TCACTACTCCCTCCGGAAGGTTCGTATGAGAATGCCTGGCCGGAGGGAGTAGAGCTCAGAAGCGATGATTGTGTCGTCCGTCTCACCGTTCCGCTCGGCACGTCCCCAATATTCTGAAGACTAGACGCATCCTTAACGCAGATCGCGACGTCACTGTCCGACAACATGTAGGAGTTCCGACACTCCAAAGCAACAGCTGTCAAATACACAGTGGGTTCCAAGGGCTGTCTATTACATGACTGTTCGTAAACGCTGTGTTGTCCAATGATGTCCTGCGTAGAGCTTCAGACAGTGCAATCAAAACCTTCAAACACACAGTGGAAGTCCGCGACAATGCGAACACCACATTGAAAACATGTTCTCGTTGGTCCCTCACGCAATTCTCGAACTTTGCTCTGACATCCGTTTTCCCCCGACCATGGGGGCGGGCTTCTCGATAGGTCAACTTGTCGCAAGCTGTGAAAGCCCCATAGGTGACCTCCCACTGTTTCTGTCTTGAGCCTGGGCACGTGCGTGCGTGCCACTTGTAAGTGATAGCGAGCGAGAGCGAGAAAAAGAACGAGAGATAAAACGAGACAGAGTGTGTGAGAGAGAGAGGAAGAACGGAAGGCGGCCAGCGGCCACCGAAGACGGCCGCCGAAGGCGTCAAACGGGCCAAGAAAGCAATGGAACGGCCCAAGAGACCACCAGAAGGCTCCCAAGATACCCCCAAGAGGCCATATTGGTCCTGGGGGTACATGCCAGGGCATCCAAAAAGGTTCTCCAAATACCCGAGAGGCCCTTCACGACCCTCCCACACGCCGCTGGAATGTTCCCAGGAGGCCCCAGGAGAGCCCTAAGAGGCCCTGAAGAGACCTCCTCCTCCTCCTCCTCCTCCTCCTCGCCTGTCTATTCATCTCTCTCTCCCTCCCCCAACTTTCCCCCCACAGATTTCCGCGGTGGCTGGGGGGAATACGTCGTCCAACAACTTGCTTCCGCCGTGACCCAACGGTTGGTTACACGTTTGGGCGCTGTCAAACCGCAAGGTGGCGGCGGTGACTCGCCGCAGGCGTCTTCGATCTGTGGTGCTGAGCAAGCTGCAAGCGTGCAAGCGCAATCACATCCGATCGGTCGCGTAGACCCCAAGGCAGTTTAAGGAAGAAAGGCGTCGCGCACCTGCAACAACGTTGCGAACATGGTTGGAGGTATGGGCTTACATCCGTGAATGTGCCTGCACGGAGTGGGCGTGTTAGACAGCGTTGTGTTGCCTGGGATGTGTCTGTTGCGATTCAAGGCCCCACCCCTCCCGCGCGCGCCCATCGACCCCCAGCCCCCTGAAATAGCGTTCTGGCGGTCTCTTCGGCCCCCAGACGACCAAGATGGCCTCCAAGACGGCGTCCAAGGCAGCTAAGACGAGAACGAAAGGCTCAACATAGCCAAACGACAGCTCAAGAGCCTGTCGAGGGAGCCCCAAGACGGATCACGACAGCCCAAGAGGGCCTCCAAGAGGCCCCCAAGGCGGCCCGAGAGAGCTCCAAGAGGCCTTCTTCCTGGAGAGCCCCGAGGGGGTGGCAAAACCATTGGTGGTCCTTGGGTGCTCCTTGTGTTCTCGCCCGTACGGGTGTCCGACCATCCGAGACGGCCCAAGAGGCGTCCAAGAGGCTTCCAAGATAGCACCAAGACAGCCCAAGAGGCCCGTAAGAGGGCCCGAGGTCGGACCAAGAAGACCACCGCGCGTCCAAGGGGCTCCCAACGAGGGCACCAGGACGGCCTCGAGGCGCCCCAAGACAGCAACCAGACGCCCAAGAGAGACCCCGTGGGCTGCCCTGGGCGGTCGGAAACCCAAACTTGCCAGAACCTCAGCAATCCCTCAAACACCTAAGGCAACGTCATGGCGCTGGCCTCCTCGGGCTCTCCTGGAGGGCCTCGTGGCGACAGATTGGGCCGTATGGGGGGCCCTCGGTCTCCCGTGAGGCCGAATTGGGAACCCCATGGCTTCAAGGACGGCGCCCGAGGCAACCAAGACGGCGTCCAGGACGGCGCAAGAGGCCCCCCAAGACAGCCTCAACGCAGAGCAAGAAGCCCCCAGGACGGCCCAAGCGGTCTCCAAGGGACCCGCCTGGAGAGCCCGAGGAGGCCAAAGCCATGGATTCCCCGTAGGTGGTTGCAAGGTTTTGATGGTCTCACCTGTTCGGGTGCCCGACCGCCCAATGCCCGACCGCCCAAGACGACCCAAGAAGCATCCAAGAGGCCTGCCAGAAGGCCAGAAGTCGGCCCAAAACGACCCACATATCGCCGAAAGGACTCCCAAAAAGCCCCAAAACGGCCGTGAACCGCTCCAAGAGGGCCCCTCAAGGCGGCCTGCATAGGCGTCAGACGGGCCAAGGGTCCCCATACGACGGTCCAGATGGCCCCAAGAGGCCCCCAAGAGGCCTCCTAGATGCCCCCAATAAGCTTCCAGGAAGCTCCCACGAGGCCCCCAGGAGGCCCCAAGAAGGCCCAAAATAAGCCTTCTGATCCGCATCCGCAATTTCTCCTTCTCCTCCTCCTCCTCCCGCTCCTTCTCCTCCTCCTCCTCCTCCTCCTCCTCCTCCTCCTCCTCCTCCTCCTCCCTAACGCGCGGGCGAAGACGAGGTCGAGATCACGACCCGCCCCAATGCAGACTATGCGTCGAAATCGCGCTGTTCCTGCACACGGCCTTCTTCCCACCGTGCTGTTGCACTGGCACGGTGGCGAGGTTTGAAGCAGGCAGCTGGGTAGACTGTCGTAGTGTCCATGACAAAACTTAGCCCGAAGAACTCAAACCCGAGAAGCCCCAGAAAGGCCCCCAAGAGGCCCACATGAGCCTCAAGAGCACTCCAAAGACAAACCCAAGGGATTAAAACCAATGTTTGCTCCTAAGTACAGTACTTGAATGTCTTTCGTCGTCGCCGTCGTCGCAATCGTCGTCGTCGTCGTCCCCAGGTCAGGGTCGGCAGCACTGGCCGTAAGGCCTTGTTGACGTAGTGCCCATAAGAACATCCAGCCCGGCGAAGAACTCAAACCCTTGGCATCCGGCGGGTTCCCGTTTGTTCTGTTAATTACCACCCTCTTGGTCCTCGGCCTCCCCCGGCACCGCGGGCCACCCCTGCAAAAAACTCCTTCACTATCATCTTCCAGCGTAAAGCACATACACACACGTCATGCTAGTACTGTTTTTTTCTCATGAGTGTGAGCTTCCAGTTTACACGTGAACATCTTGACGTACATGCCACATACTCTCACGAACATAACTCCGATATTCCCTAATAAGGGAGGCTTCGGTCAATCCGCACATGCTCGCACACGATTCTAATCGGCCACGGCCACGCCAAAAGTCTTCCCGAGGATGGGATGCCATCCGCCGAATCGCGCGGCCCTGGCAGTCGGAGCCCAGAGTTTCGAATATCCGAGGGTGCAGCTGGCGAAGCGGGCCAGAGCGCCAGGGCATCGCGCAGCCCGGGGGCCCGAGGATCTCTCGACCGAAACGGGCCTGAGCACCTCGCGAACCGCACCTTCGAACCCAGAGCTGTGAGGATCTCTCGGGCGAAACGGGCCAGATCACCTTCAGTCAGGGCATCTCGCAGCTCAGGGCTCCCAGGATGTCTGAGGCGGAACGGGCCTGAGCACCTCGGTAACCGCATATCGTCGAACCCAAAAGTGTGAAGACGTCTCGGGAGGCGCAACGGGTCGGGGCACCTCAAGTCCTTCTCCTTCTCCCCCTCCTCCTCCTCATCCCCCCCCTCCTCCTCCTCCTCCTCCTCCTCCTCCTCCTCCTCCTCCTCCTCCTCCTCAGGGCATCTCAGGACTCGGGGTTCCGAAGATGTCTCGGGCGAAACGTGCCTGAGCACCTCGCGAACCGCATTATTGAAATCCAGAGTTGTGAGGACGTCTCGGGCGAAATGGGCCATAGCACCTCAAGTCAGGGCATCTCGGACCCCGTGGGTTCCAAGGATGTCAAAAGAGAAACGGGCCAGAACCTCTGTGGCTCGTGAGGCGCACCGAGCTCTCTTGAGGGCAACCCCTCCCCAGCACCTCCACGCACCGCCGTTGGGGTTGCCGTGTCTGCCCGGGGCTGCCCCACGCGACCCCAGCGCCCGGGCTCAGGTGCCTCGCCCCCCCGTCAGCCAAGCAGGATGAGCCCTGGAGGGGTCCGAAACAGCCCCAAACGCTAACCAAAGAGGCCAACGAGGACCATGCGGCTCTGAAAAGACACACGTCCACCTCCCAAAACAAAGGGGCCGTTCGAGACATCCACGCCGTCTGGGCGCGAACGGGCCAGTGGAACACCTTGGTCGGCAAAGCACTGGCCACCATCACAAGGCACGAGCGAGCCGTGTGCAGCCCTGGCGACGAGGAGTGTCCCGAGAGCATCAGCAACACAAGTACTTGTCTGACAACAATGCGAACATTATGTTCCTCCTCCTCCTCCTCCTCTTTCTCCTCCTCCTCCTCCTGCTCCTCCTCCTCCTTCTCTTCGCACTCCTCCTTAGCGGTTGCTCCCCTCGCGCGCGGCATCTCTGTGCCCAGCATTGCCGGGACGTCATGAGCGAAATTGGCCGGATCGGCTCGCAGGCGGAATCTCCAAGCGCAGAGCTACGAGGATGTCTCACGCGAAACGGGCGGGGCCACCTCCAGTCACGTCATCGAAGATGCTTCAGGCGAAATGGGCCAGACCACCTCTCGCGCGGCGTCTAGGAACTCAGAACTGCGAGGGTGTCTCAAGCGAAACGAGCCAGACCACCTCAGCATTCTGAGAGTCTCGACGCGCGGTGCCCTCGGGCGGCACTCATTCTTACCACCACCACGCCCTCCGGCACTGGCCAGGCGACCCGGGAACACTCCAGAACAAAGCCTTCATTTGACGACAGCAAACGAGAACCTCCCATCTGCGTGTAGCGCATAAGGGGCTATCCGCAAATACTGCGCTCCGAAACGAGGCCGTAAGTGGAGCGTCCAATGGGGCACGATCTGCGTGAGTGACGTACCGAGATGGGTGGGGCAAAGGCATGCGATTTCCTCCACTGGGTCCACGGGTGGGGATCCCTATGGCACGGTCCGCCTGAGGGGTGTGCCGAAAAGAAAGAGGAGCAACGTCATGCGATATCTTCGCCTTGGGCTATCGGTGGATTCCTATATTGGGCACGATCCGTGTGAGTGATGTGTCGAAATGAGTTGCGCAAAGCCATGCTAATTCCTCTGCTGGGCCCAAACACTGAGCTCCCTGTAGAGAGCATTCAGTGAGCGGGGGGTGCTGCCATGGGCAGAAACACGCTATGCGAATTATCCCACTTGGGTCGTGGGTAGAGCTCTATTCGGGGCACGATCCGTGTGATGGCTGCGAAAAAACCGTAAAAGAACCATGTGAATTCCAATATTGGGCCATCGGCTGATGTCCTATGGTGCGCGATCCGTGTGAGGGGTGTGCTCGAATCAATGGGACAAAATGCGAGTTTCTTCGCTGGGTGCATGGGTGGAGCCCCCCATGGGGCATGGGTTCCACAACTGGGACCACCATTGGACCACAAATGCTGTCTCATGCGGGGTACGATCCGTGTGAGGGGTGTGGCGAAATGGGCGGGGCAACACCATGCGATTCCCCCCACTGTGGCCAGAAGGGGACCATCATGTGCCAAAGTGGGCGGGGCAGCGTCATGCCACCCACTGGGGCCACAAGTGGGACTGCACATTGGGGCACGTGTGCCAGAAAGGGCGGGGCAATGCCATGCGGATTCTCTACTGATGCCATAGGTGGGTCTCACCATGGGGCACGATCTGGGTAAGGGCTGTTCCGAAATGAGCGATGCGAAGCCATGCCTCAAGAGGACCCAAGATGCTTGCGAGGTGCCTGCCAAGAGACCCCAGAAGTCCACCAATATGCCTCTTGTCCAAGGCCATGCGCACTGGTGGGATGGACTGAGGCCAAAAAGTACTGAAGTCAACATGTGCACGGTACTAGACCTGGTAGACTGGGGCATGGGTCTGACACGGATGTGGCATGCTTGTTCCTGCCTGAGTCTGAGACCTGACGTTGAACCAACCGTGAGGATAATAGGGCGCACCTGGACTTGCTGTACCCGTTATGAAGCAGACATGAGCGGGCTTGGCTCTACATGCAAGAAACGATGTTGACCATCCCCCTACTGTGCCTCGGACGTGTACGCATTGCCAGACGGAGCAACTCAGCTTAAGAGTTGCATGAACAATGTAGAGATGCGCATGGTACCTTCGCTGGACAATTCCAGCCTTTGCGTTCGATCGGCCAGTGGTCTGGGTCTCTGCGAGGGCTGGTCGCAGCTATCTACCTGTGCGTACCCTATACGAGGAGTGCTGCACTTACTCAGCTCTCCTGGCAGGCGCGCGCACAGTGCAATTCATACAAATGGCACTCAAATTACATGATTGCTCATCAGAATTCATCGTGGTCGTCACCCAGGTCGTCGTCAGAATCAAAGTCCACGTCATCGTCAGTTGTGTCATCGGCAGCGGCCGCCTCGGCCGCCTGCCTTCTCTGCTCCTCGATCACTTTCTGCTGGATGATTTGCGACCGGACCTGATCCGTGATCCTCTCCAGGGCCTTTGAGAACTTACCCCTCATGCTCAGGGCTTTGTCCATCTTGGCGACGTCGGCGCTGTCGGCCGCCTTCCTCATCGTCGTGGCAAAGAGGCGAAGGCCGTTGAAGATGTCGTGGGGCGCGTCTGCTGCCTTCGTCAACGAAAAGGAAATCTTCTCGCAGTAAATCTTTTTCGTCGTGGCATCGGTGGGAAGCTCGGCCTGCCAATCCTTGGCCACGATCTGGATCTCTTCCATGCCGGCAAGTAGCGGGGACTCGAGGTAGAGCTTCGCAAAGTCCGGCGGCAGATACGCCATGTCCGCCTCCTCCGCGGCAGCCGTGCGCGCCCCCGCGACTGCCAACACGAGCAAAAATCGGCCACACATGGCGAGGCTAGCACGTCGGCGTTTCGGGGGCGCCGAAGAGGGGGGCTGGGAAGTGGAGGGGGGGGATGCATCATGGCCCGAGGCACGTGCGCGGACGAAGGGAGGGGGGGGGGCAGCGAACATGCGGAATGAAGCAGACGGGGCCGTGCAATCGTTGGTGTCCGTTCCATAGGAGTCTGCGCGTGGCCCCTGGCACTGTCCGATCCGGGCCTGGCTTGGACCAAATCTAGAAGACAGTTGGGGCCGGGTGCTGACCAGATTCACAAGTGAGGCGAGAAGGAGGAGGAAGAGGAGGAGCAGCAGGAAGGGCGAGGAGGAGCAGGCGGGAGGGCCGACTGCGGCGCGAATGCAGGAACCAACTAGTCCCAATGTCGGCGTCCAAGGCTCGCTCCTACGAGCTGGCATCGAGGTCATGGCCGTGGCCACGATGCGCCCCCTGGCCATACGTTCTACCCCTCGCTCGGGCGCCCCCGAGCGTTACCAGCCTGTGCCTGCGGGGATCGGTCAGGGCCTCTGCTGCCGAAGCGGACCAGGCCAAAATGCCAGCGGTAGAAGGGGGTGCG